TGGTGGGAAAAAAAATTCAGTGCAAAAGAGACCCCCCCCCAAAAAGCCTAAAAACACACTAAAAATACCTCCAAAACCCAAACCTCTGCTTGGAGAGTATACAATTATGTCGAATGAGCTTTACTCTGTTCTATAATGTCATATGAAGTGAGTGTGCAGGTACGGACGTTGTACAATCTATTTCAGGAAGCCAAAGGCCTGACACTGTCGGAATGTGCCGTTAACGACCTCAGCCCAGCTGTCCTTGTCAAAGCTTTCCAACGAAGTCTGTCCAACATCTTACTGGCACAAGATCGAAAGAAAGCGACGGAGTCGGATGCTATATTGAAGCTTCTAAGTCGTCTGGACGGGGAGCGCAAATCGGTGAAGGAAGGTGCGTTCCCACTGTGGTAAAATTTGTCCGGCTCGATTCGGTTAGCTAGCAGATCGGCTCGATCCGGATATTTGACAGTAGTGGGAATGGGGCCAAAGTTCTCATTCAACAAAGTTAAAATCGAAATACTTTTGAAATGATGAAAATGTAGCATCAGCCATTTTAGCACAACGCCATATAGAACTTTTACTTTCTTGTAGGTAAAGACGAGGTAAAGCTGAAGAACATGATTGACGACGCCACGACTTTGGATGACCTGATGAAGAACCAAGATTTGTTCCGAGTAGTCGGAGAAATCTTGGAAGAATTTGGTCAATACTTGAAGGTGGAGTACCCATTCAATTTGGCAAACTGGCTTTTGGCATCATTCATAGGGCTGGTGACCGTCGCGGGTGTTGTGGCAACAGGTATGCTCTGTCCATGCCTTTTGTATAATCATTCAATCATTCAATCAATCAGTTTATTTCTGTAAACATGAGGCTGTCAGTCTTAGGCTGAATTATGCCTTGTCGTACAAGGAGAGCACCTCTGCATTTAAACAATTATTAAATTCATAATAATTACATATGAGAATGAAATTTACATAAAAATTAATAAGGGTCAGCATATAGTCATTATTTTGCATATAGTAATTATTACATAATAGAAAAATGCATCTTTGTAGTAATATGTGGATAAGATGTCCACAAAACAAAACTCTGCTTTAACTTCTGTGTATGTGAACCAGCTGGTGGTGCTGCCATAGTCTTCGGAGCGATCGCCTTGAGCAGTGGAGTAGGAATCGGAATCGGAGCGGGAGGCGCCGCAGCTGCCTTCGCTGGAACAGGATTGAATGTCTGGTACCACTTGCAATTCAGGGACTATGAGCAGAACTACAAAGCAATTCTGAGGTAAGACACTAAGTATATACCTGTGGTTAATTAAACACAGCTAATGTTGTATTTTGCAGTTTTCTGTACACTGTTTTCCATAAGAAAAAATGTGTTAATTTAAGATAAATGTACTTGACATTGTGCTACCCTCCGTAGAAATCTGCAGAGTTATGTGTCTGTACGAATTATAATGTTACACAGTTTGATATTTCTAAGAGATATAAAATGCAAATTTGATGCAGTAGAGAAATTGAAGTGAAGGAACATTCTTACACATTCCCTTATGTTCTAACATTTAGAATGCTTATTGAGGAGTTGTCTGAGAAACCGAGTAAGCAGAAGGGGGACGCTGATGCCGATGACGGAACAGTGTACAGCTTGGAACGTGCCCTTTACACAAAATACAAGGTCAGCCATCTTTCATTCTGTAATGCTAGACCTGAAATGTTGTATGGTATGTGCTGATATGTGGTATTCTAATATTATTTTTATTGGTGTCCGTTTTCGAAGCGTAACGAAAGGTTGTTGACACAATCATGACGCAAACTTAATCGTAATTCATTGAAGAAAACTATATTTACACAAATTTTTCTTCTGTGGTTCGCGTGGCGTAACGGCGTAGTGCTCGACTCGGAACCAAAAAGGTCCCGGGTTCGAGTCCTGACATGCCACCGATCTTGTGCCTTTGCGGAAGGCACTTCACACGACTTTCCTCACTTCGCTCAGGTGAAAATAAGTATTGTATTGAGTAAAGAGACTCTTTTTACACAACCACGCATGTGCAAAAATAGTCTCTTTACTCAGTGACTTACATGTACTAACCTGACGAAACTTTTCACGGATGAGTATTGTATTGTTCCCTGTGTTGGTGGCGGCATTAATATAGCCTCCTTCGCAGTCTTGTTGGGCGTCGGCGTTATTTTTTCTGTGAGCAATATGCGGCCGCGAGGGACGATTTGATGCCGATCGAGGAAGTTTTTGCCGCAGAGAGAAAAAATAACGCCGACGCCCAACAAGACTGTGAAGGAGGCTAACATTAATAGAAGTTGAAAAAACTTGAATGTGTCCCCACCGCGTCTTGTTATTACATTGTTGGAATATAAGAAAAATTCTTCTTCAAATACAAATTCAGGGCCGCGGGTTTCTTAACAAAACTGTCGATGAAGTCATGGATCAAGAGCCTTTTAAAGGCTCTCCTAAGCTGAAGAAGGCAACAAAAAAGTCCCAGAAGGAAGCTCTCCGCCGCTGCCAGATGGCTTGTGACCTGTTTGAGATTCGCCGGCACGTGCAAAAGTCATGCTTCGTTGGCCTGTTCGGGCCTCAGAATGCTGGTAAATCCACGCTTATCGAGAAAACCTGGGGTGTGAAGGTAAAGGAGAGGGGCTTCCAGATCCACACCTGGTCACCTGATCTGTACAAGGCGGAGGGAACGGATAGAATGGTGGTAAGTGTTGAAACAACTACTTGTTATCAACAACCTAACATTTTCTATTTGGATGACAACTTGCTTGATCTTCATCTTTGCCGGGGCTCAAAGATGTTATGTGAGCCCCGGCTACACCCCCATATAGCCCCTGATGTGGCACTTTAGGGGGGGAAGGCCTTGGTCTAAGGCGGGCAGGCCTCCAGCCTGGCCCGGGAGGACTCAACGGTGGGAGCCATAACTACCGGGCCAGGCAAGGCGTTCCATTGGGGAATTGTGCGAGGGAAGAAGGAATATTTGTAGGCGTCTGTTCGTGCATGTATAGGTTGATATTTATACTGGTGGCTCCCGCGGGTACGCCCTTGGGCATCGATTCAGGAAATATCGTCATGAATTCAGTCGTTATGGATTCTTTCAGATCATAGACTTCCCAGGCACTACTACAATTGATGAGCAGGTGGCCAACTTGGCAAATAACTGCGGGGGGCTGTCGAGCATCCTCGTCCTCGTCATGCCGTTCCAAGGGGATACCAGCACGGATCACGTCACACAGCTGGAGAAAGCTAACAAGCTGGCAGAAGATTTCGACTGTTCTACTCTGCTCTGCATTAGCCACTGCGGTCGATTCAAGGACATATTAAAGGTGCGTATGAAAACATTCTTCAACCAACTATACCCCTAGTTTGCCAGCTTAGCCTGCATCCGTATTTTCGTATTTTACGCAGCCATTCTGGCGTCATGACTTGCGTTTCTCTTTAGACTGGAAGGACTAATGATTCTCACAGCTGTCCATGTTTGTGAATCACGTCTTTCAATACGAAACCAACCAAAGATACTCACAATACATTTGCAATTTGCCCAAGAAATAATCTGTAATACAGTAGTACTCATGATCAGGACCCGTCGAATAGTGATGAATGACACCATGCCAAGTCCCTGACAACCTTACAGATATTTCTTAACACGTGTGTACAACCCTTAAGCTTATCGACAAACTCATACAGCAACTCGGGACAATATAATAACCTTTTTAATCTTCCCATACCAGCCTCGGATCAAATGAAATGATGACATTTAAACTTCAACATCACCCCACGATGCTCGATTTATAAGCAACTAATGTTTACGACTACACATGAGTATGCCTTTGATATTGTTTTGTTGTTGTTGTGCTCAGGACAAGAAGACTGTCGATGCCTATAGAAAGGACTACACAAAACACCTTAAGATCGACCCAGCCAACATCCTCTTCACGGAGCTTGTGGAGACTGACGACATGGAGAGCAGGGGTGTAGTTGGGCCGGAAGGGGTGAGGAATTGGATAAAAGATTGGCTTATCAAATTTGATGTGTTTTCAAAGGATGATGATGAGCTCTATGCCGCTGTCAATATGACCAGAGGTTGAGCAACTATAACACCAAGGCACTCTGCTAATAGCTCAGAGATACAGCTATTCTATCTAGCTGGCGAGAAACCCTAAATTTGATTTCAGGGACAGACACTTTCAGGCATTTGACTACTAGTGATTACATGTTTGTGTCCGTTTTCTTTTGTGTAAGGTATAGGACTTGCTAACCCTCTTGGAGTTTGTATTGATTTCTATTAAGGTGTGTATATTTTACACAGCGTTTCATTGTTCACAGATTTTGTGTAGTTTTTGGCAAGCTTTGTTTAGAGGAGGCGTTTGTTTGTAATTCTTCTGCCGTTGTATCTTTTGATGAAATGCTCTTGTTTTCCTCTAGGTAAATAGTGTTACTATACAAGTAATTATTGCAGTTAAGACCTTGCGTTGTGGTAAACCAACATAATTCAGCTCGTGAGACATGGTAATCATTTAAGCAGAGAAATTTGCAAGATGTAAACTTATTTAATTGTTGACATTGCTAGGTACTTGCAGAAAAATGTAACACAAAGCCTGTCCGATGAAAACATGTAGATTTAGCATAGACAAAGTGATCAGTATATACAAGTAAATCGACAATTTACTGCTCCCAACTGTAGTCTGAACACATTGCTCATAAGCTTTCAGAATTATCCGATTATGGTCGTTTGAAGCTGATTTAGACCAGAACATTCGTTCAAAAATCTACGAAAAGATACAAATTCAAATAAGAAAGTTGAATTATGGACACAACTTTCAAATTACTTACGAACATAGTTGTTTATGTTAGTTCCTTTTATTCCTGCCTAATATGCATAATTCAGCGACTTGTACTATGTACGAGTGACTGCAATGTATTTTAGTGTATTGTTATGAATCGAAACAATAAACCAATATTATTATCATTTATTAATTTCACCATTATCTAGTCAACGTTATACAAGCAGTTGCAGATGTTCCAGCTATAATCTATGATTGAAGGCATAACAGGGAAGGTGAAAATCTATGAAGGAAGATTTAAAGGTCACAGACTTTGAAAATGGACAACGACAGAAATGGGTCCATGATCACTAACACAGCACTTATGTAGAAAGATTTCATCTACGTAGAAAGATTTCATCAGTGCCTTTCTTGATGAGCCTTACACATTAGCAATATCAAGGAGATATGGAAATTGTATTACATGTTTATCATACTCAACAGTTTGCCTTGCATTTTGCAATTGCGTGATTAATAAAACACTCATATAAATCACCACACGTGTCTTCATTTTACCCTTCCTATTTGTACATGTCATATTGTTAATGTCTAGTGATATAGAGAGGACTGAGATCACATGTCTAGTGACACAGAGACTCGCTGAGGTCAGGGCTTTCAGGTTTAATCCCTGGACAGTTGAAGATCACACCTGTGCGTATGGCCTCATTTAAATACCATACAAGTATTCACTGGCCTCCCTTGTACTCGTGGACAAATGCATGTAACGTTATTTTACCTAAATCGGCATGATAAAATAAATCCGAGATTTTTACAAACAGGATGCATGTCTCAGCGTCTCTTGAATTGGGTCCAACATGGTAGAAAGTCGCCAGGTTCAACCGGTCTTGCAACATGCCACCACGGGTCGCCGTGCGCAACAAAATGGCCGCGCAAGATTTCTAGTCTGTACACGTCGGTACCTCCTGACAGAATCCTGTGAGTACTATGCCCCAAACTTTGTGTGTACTGTAACCCTGAACGCTTCCGTAGTGTCAGAGGGTCCCTCCACGACTACAGATAGAGCTGCAGTGTCTTCCGTGTTGGTACGTATATTAGAAGTGGTATGTAGAGTATGATGTAGAATGCAGTAGTATGGTACGTTAGCTCCGTGGGGTTAGACAAATGCGATTTTGAATACTCCTAAAAAATTCTCATGCTTTGCGTAGTACTAATTAAGTTATACCTGATATACCTATGTGTACAAAGGTTGTTGTATGCAGTGCATAGATTATTGAATGACTACGGTCGAGCTACGCTATAATAGTATTTTGTACCATGTATGTGTAGTGTAAGAATACATGTGTATAGATTTTTTAGGACAAAGATGTAAACTGTATCTTTGTTACGTATGTTGTCTGACCCTTTCCTCTTCCCCCATGACCTCAATGAAAAGCAGCATCAATAAGCAAAAAATTCAAACAAACAAACAAACAAACAAACAAACACAACAAACACAACAAACAAACAAACAAACAAACAAACAGATTGCAATGACAGCTTCTGTAGTTCCAGTCTTGATACTGCTTGAAATTCTAATATTTATCCTACTGTGTTCCTGATATAGGAGAGCCTCACGATGTTTCTACTTCGGCTAGCCAGTCCCCGCAGAATATGCCTGTTCTTCACGGTACTCGGGCTTCTCCTAGGCGCAGGTATCGTCCTACAAATGGAGGACGAGGAGGAGCGGATACGCAGCTTCATTGAAAACGACCCCGGCCCTGTGACCACCCCAGTTCTAACAACAGAAGCTGCAACCGAAGCCTACACTCCAAAAAAAGTAGTGGTCTTGATGTCCCTCAGTAAGTGCGGCGGATCTGCCATAGGCGAGCTCTTCAACCAAAACCCGGACGTCTTCTACTTTTTCGAACCCCTTTGGGGGCTTGAGTATGCCATCAAGAAATCCAACCAGGAGAACGGCACAACAGACAGGCTAGACGACTACCAAAGGTTATCATTTCGGTTGGTTAACTCTGGATCGCACTGTAACGTCTCGGACGACTCCAGAATCTTCCTGACTGTGTACATGAAGAACACGATCTTCAGCGGTGCGTACCGAAGCGAATCCATGAGAGTTCTGTGCGGGATGGCAAAGAAAAAGCTCCCACAATCAGAAAGTAGATGTCCGATAAATGACAACAAGGTACCAGACGTGATAGAACAGCTATGCAAAGAAAAGTCACATTACGTTGTAAAGGTCATCCGAATAAAGGATATCATGATGCTTCGCCAGTTTGCGTTCGAAGAAGAAGTTGACTACAAGATTCTACAAGTTATAAGGGATCCCAGAAGCGTGGTAACCTCGCGACTGCAAGCCAAATACTCCAGCAACTCTACTGTAAAGAAGTACACCGAAAGCCATGTGAGAGAGGCGGGGTACCAGTATTTGTGTAGGTGGATGTCTGACAACGCCAGAACACAGGATAGCATAACGCCGTGGCTGGAGAACAGGTTTGCCACCGTGAGGTTTGAAGACTTTGTGACCAACAGGGTGACTACTGCTGAGAGGATGTACGGATTCGTCGGTTTACCTCAACATAAGCAGGTGAGGCATTGTAGTCTCTAGTCTCTACCAGACTAACTACGCTGGCTATATATAGGAGAATATTTACCAGGAGAGTTTGGCCGCCTTGTAGGTTTGACTGGCCGCGCAGGGAGGGAAAGAAGCTACCTCCCCGCGGCCGGACTCCCTTGGCCAATTTTATTCTCTTTTTTTTGCCAAATTCTACGATCTGAATTCCCGTAGAAAGGCCTGGTGGAGGCTATGAGGCATTACATGTTGTGTATATGTAGACATATACATTCGTAGACATATACATTCTGACATATACACACTGAAAACAAACATCTACATCTTCAAACAGACGCACTTTGATTCCTTGAATATGGGGTTGAATGAGGTATACGATAGCTTCTACTTTCTACATTTTTTCAGCAACCATAGGGAGTCTGGTAGATGCTAGGTATACAGTGCATTGTTTTCTGTAATCCATTCTGCTAGACTATATATAGTAGGTATATGTCCTTTTGATATACTTTTCTTGCCTTGTTTTGTGCATCATACATGATGAATTGGCTAAAAGGCCAGTAGAGAGACATATGCTACAGTTCAAACTTCAAGGACGCTACCATTTACAAAAGCACCGACTAGCATTCAGTAATGGTACTGCAGCCAATCAGCAGTAGTCAACTTCTCAATCTGGAAACGCATAAGCCGGAGTATGAAGTCATCCGTTTTGGTTGTTGCTTACTTATGGTGTAAAGGAATCCAGAAATATTTAGTACTCAGGTTTAGTGCAAATTCATGGCTAAAGTTGATTCGTTTGCCATGCACAGGTTCTAAGCTGGTTGAACGCGCAGACCCCGTCTAGTGTGAAGCGGGCGGAGCCGTGGAAAACCCTGCTGGAGTGGGACGCCATCAGGCTTATCCAGAACGACCCCGCCTGTCAGAAAGTCATGCGGCTGTTCGGGTACGTCCCCGCCGCCGACAAGTCAGACCTCACCAGCGACGGCTGGACCTCTGTGGTAGCGGTACCTGCAAACGTTGTCGCTATATCTTAAGCCTCTGTCACACATTCACAGCCTTCCCCCGACCACAAACAAACAAACAAACAAACAAACAAACAAACAAACAAACAAACCGAGGTTGGTGGTAGTTTGGAAGCAGTCTGACCAAGTTTAGGCCATGCCTTTACCCTCCCATACGAATCGATTCAAATTTGTATTAGATTTGAGTCAAATTGCCCCGATCACTGCTGACCTTCTTCCGACCACCAGTCAACTATAGCACAACCTCTCGTCTACTCCCGAATGTTTCATACATTTCGGAACATTCGGCTCGCTGTGAGTTTGGCTAGTGTTCGGTAGGTCATTCGTAAATGTGTGACAGGGGCTCTCTGACACGGATGTAGCAAACGCTTGAAATCATTCCGACCGATCTGATGATACCACATGTAGTAGTAGCTTCAGAGAAAGGTTTTCACAAGAGTAAAATGTTGGTGGGAGTATAACATATCTTGGATATATACAGAATGGACGGAACATTGTTATGTATAGGTATTGCTGTATCAAAGACAGCGATGCATTATAACTATTAAAGTTGGTGTATTTTGTGAAGGTGGCCTAAACATTTTGATGAAGTGGATTTGCCCCTCTGACTATTTAACGGCTATAATTTGAAATACAATATTCGTGGAGGTCTAAGGAGGATGACACCCTTTAGACAAACCAAAAATGTCTTATCTCTTTAATCTATGTCATGGCGAAGGTTGTGAAAATGATTGAAAGCGCAGAACAGTATTATATGATAAGCAATAAATCGTCGGTGTTCTTTTATCAGAAGGAAGTTATAGCTATGACCGTATGTCATTCAATGGTGTATCATTTTGTGGTGTGGTGTCCAGATGTTTATTGATGCATAAGCCGATGAATAGTCAGTGTGCCTAAATATTAGGCCATGTTGATTTGATTATATGGATGACATCCGCGCGCGCAGGAATTTTCGTCCGTTTCAAAAAAAAAAGGTTTCAACCATACTGTAAATCGTACAAAATGAATATATGTATATGTCGTATGTTGCAAAAAGGGCTTGGAAAACGATACTAATGTCAAAGAATGCCGAAGTCAATTCAGGAAAAGAAGAAAATGTAAAGAAATGAAAATGAAGAGTGTATTATTATTTACTACACCATACTCTGTGTCATTTGTTCAACCGTTATGACCACGTAGATTTCATAATGAATGAAACTATTTTGGCCAAACTTTTTATTCGCACGCTCGCATCAGTTTTGGGGTTCCCAGAGGATGTCATCCATGTAATCAAATTAACGCGGCCTTACCGGTACCCATAGATCTGATTAATGTAGTCCTATACAAGATATCATGGATATCAAAACAATTGTGACACAACAGTTTTTATTTCAAACATGGCGTCTAAAGATACATATTCGTGCACAGTGCTTCATATCATTTCCACATTGACATTCAAATACCTCACATATTTGAAGCACTCTTTTGATTTTGAATAGTTGATACGTATACATACATGACGCAAAGAAAACGCATAGCACTTGTACCTTGAAAATAAAACAGGAAAGGCTTTTGAAATAAAATGTTATAATTATCTTACTTTATATCAATCAACGATGTCAAATTTGACGTTTGTACAATCTTAAGTTTCAGTACTTTTTGTCTGAATAAAAAGATAAAGTGCCATGATAACATGTGAGGTGCACAAGTTATTAGCGAGCTTTCAAAGAAAAAAACCTGCCATAGATTCATGATCAATTCACTTTAGAACTGACGGTAAAAAGAAATCCCCCCCCCCCTTGTGTATAACAAAAGAAAATATCGTACATGTGAGTTGCTGCAGTAGCTGTCATTGTAAACGTAGATGTCTGTTGTTTGCTTCAATACTCTTCAAGCAGAGGTTTGGGTGTTGGGTTATTTTGGGCGTGTTTTTAGGCTTTTTTATCGGGGTTCTGCAGAAGCGTGACGTTTGTCAGTGCATGCATTGAAGACTTCATTTCTACTCTTAAATTTCATATTTGAGAGAGGTAGTTTGTTTGCTTGTTTGGCGTCTTTCAATGTGCCTTGGGGGGGGGCAGACATAAAGAAACAACATAAAAAAAGATCAACGATACAAAAATTCAACAAAAATTCATGCAAACTATACGTCGACACAAAACCAAAACAATATTAATGCGATTCAAAATAATCAATAAAGTCATGTTAGAAAATTAGTCAAACAATAATATAATATGATCTTGAATTAGCCTCCTTCGCAGAGTTGTTGGGCGTCGGCGTTAATTTTTTCTGTGAGCGACGCGAGTAATACTAAGTATGCCGCGGAGGGACGATTTTGCTGCCGAGGGAGTTTTGCGACTCTGCGAAGGAGGCTAATATAGAATATGATAAAATAAACGTAATTATGCGTGCAGAGTTAGTTATACAGATAATACGCCCAGTATATGATGGAGAACAATAGAAACCCGACAGGAAAGATCACCCTGGACCACACGTCAATGTTGCACGGTTTCTTGTAGACTACCTCCGGGTTCTTCTCGGCTTTCTTCTGTTCGTTGGCTGCAGCTGGTGGTTCCTCGGGGATGGACTCTGGAGGAGCGGCGCTGCCTGAGGAGGTAGACGGGTTGTCCTGAGGTGGTCCCTTGGCCTATGACAAAAACAAGAATTTGGATATGTCAGATCATGTTAGCCTGGAATCCATCCGTGAACGCTTCAAGGCAGAGCGGAGGAACTGAGCGGAGATAAAGCGTTCACGGATGTATTCCAGGCTAAGATCATGTGTGATGGTGACTGTGTCCTCCTCATTCACAATGATGATCTCCCTCAGGCTGAATTCAATCATATCCATTACTGTCATAAGGGCCATGCGAAAACACAGACACAGAACCACAGACACACACATAGACACACACACACACACAGACAGACACACACACACACACACACGCACAGACAGACAGACAGACACACACACACACACACACACACACACACACAGAGAGAGAGGGAGAGAGAGAGAGAGAGAGAGAGAGAGAGACTCACACACACACACATATATATAAGTAGTCAGACGTTTTGGTTATTTTTATGAAATTTCCATTTATATAATTTTTTTATGTCTTTCGTTGTATGTATTTGTAGTCATAAAATTGCTTGTACTTTAGTTATGATATAAAGACTCCAGGAAGATATTAACGTTAAGTACATGGTACATGTTGTTTCAAGAATGAAGTTTCCTGACAAACATAGAGAAAAACGTGAACATAAACCTTGTGTAGAGTCTTCTGTGTAGGAGACGTGGTGGTCGCCAAGTCTCCCTGTTCCCCCTGCGTACCGCGGTACCTTCTCCGCTTCCTTGTTGTTTGTCCCTGCATCACATGGTACGTGGTATTAGCATCTGCCCCCTGTACCAGCGTACTTCTACCGTCGCCTTGTCGGCGTGCGCTGTCCTGTCCCCCGGCCGGCTTGGAGGACGCGTGCCGGCTGGTGGGTGGGATGATCAGTTCCCAGCCTGAGGGCTTCACCTTGACGGGTTTGCCCGACGACTTGGCGTGATCATGAGCTCCAGGATCCGGGGAGACCCTGCTCCTCCCGGCGCTGGGCGGCCGTGCCCGTGCCTGCTTTACCGCCTGGGCGAAGCGTGTGCGCGGTGAAACCGCAACCGACTCGTCCTCCTGAGACTTACGGGGGCTGGGGACGGTCTTTCTTTCCTTCTTTTCCTTCTGTTTTACCTTCATGTAATCCAGAAACAAAATAGATATCATTGTAGATATGGCCTCTACTGAGGAACAACTAAAGCAATTTCTGGACAGTGAAACTGGATTTATTTTTCAAAGTCAATTTTCTGGTCTTTTATTAATGTAGTAAGTTGAATCAATTTTATAATATCCCATAGCATACTGGATAAAAAGGACGGATGTGCCCTACCTTCTTGTTTTGAGGATTGTGCAGATGGTGTACCACGGCGTACTCAACGATCACCATGAACGCAAAGGCCAGGCAGAACACGTACCACAGGTCAATGGCTCGTATGTAGGAAATCTGGGCGAATACATGGATGGAAAAACCATTAACAAACCAATGCCAAACTACATACCAATGCAGCAAAGGGATCAAGAGATAGAGCTGCGAACGTATGGACGCAACTGCTTACAATACTCCTCGAAGGTCACTTAATTCCTTCACCGAGTAACAAACAAACAAACAAACAAGCAAACAAACAAACAAACAAGCAAGCAAACATTAAATTGTTACGTCAATAAAGGCTAGCTTTAAAAGAATCATACACACAGACTAACAAATATGCCAAACTACATACCAATGCAGCAAGGGGATCGTGAGATAGAGTTGCAAAAGTATACGGACACAACTGACTACAATACTCCATCGGAGGTCACTGACCTCCTTCACGGAGTAACAAACAAACAAACAAACAAACAAACAAGCAAGCAAGCAAGCAAAGATTAAATTGTGACGTCAATGAAGCTTTAAAAGACGATCAAACGTGTTAACCTACATGTCAATGCAGGAAACGGATCATGAGATAGAGTACAGACACAACTGATCACAATACTCCGTAGGAGGTCACTGACCTTCTTCACAGAGTAACAAACAAACAAACAAACAAACAAACAAACAAACATCAAATCGGCTCAATTAAGCTTAAATAAGTCAATACAGCACATAATAAGTAAATTTGCAAACCGTTGGATTATCACTGTTGAACTTACATGCGGCATTTTCTCAATTTGACTGCCGAGACGAACGAGCATGAGGAAGGTTGTGCAGCCCAGTGCGACCCTAGCGGATGTCTCGGAGTAGTGCACCCAGAAGGACATCCAGGACACGGCGACGACCGTGGCTGTGGGGGTGAAGACCCGGAGGACGTAGTACGGCAGGCGGCGCTTGAAGTGGACTTTTGCCTCCAGTGTAGAGAAAGTGTCCGGAGAGCCAGCTGGAATATTAACAATAGATAAAGATCAATGGAAAATTAGGGTTGATTCAAAATCTGGAGGTTCTGGGTTCGAGTGCCTAGCACGTCCCAATTTTCTGTCCTTGGGAACACTCTGGTCTTCCTCACTAGACTGACACAGTCAGAGAGTTGTCATGTGGCGTCTTTGAAGTGTGACGTCAACACTGGGTCAAAGTTATCTGGTAAACGATGTCAGTCCCGTCGCGGTTGAGTGAAGGGTGATGGGCCTTTATCTAAATAGCCTCTTTCACCCCTCTCAGGATGAACTTTCATGAGCACCCATTTCCTCATGCGACTCAGTACCTAGGCATGAGTACCTAGCTTCTGTATAGGGACACCCGGTGATCCCGTGTTTGAGGAGAGCCACATACACTTTGAGTACGTTAAAGATAAAGGTAAGTGAAAGATAAAGTTTTGAACTTGTGCGAGTGGTTCAAACCTTACAATCCGGTCTTCCAGTCCGGTATTGTACTTACTGTAAAAAAAACTGGGATGTAGGCGGTTTATCGTTTATGAGAAAAACCATGATCAGTCGCCAATAAACACTTGTAACTGTAGCTAAATCCATAAACAGTCTTGTCTCTAGAAGTATGTACTGTATATGTTGTGTGTTTGGACAAAATACAGGTTATGAGTAAGAATAAGTACATACAAATGTACACGTACCTTGAGACCCATTACAGCTTGTTGGCATGACCTGACAGGTACCAGAGTACATGGAACACTTCTTACAGGCCGGCTCACTGACGTCACAGAACCGCAGCGTGGGGCAGTAGTCGGCGTCAGCTGACAGGTCACACTTCTGATGGAAGTACGGACATCCCGAGCCTGGAATGTGCCACAGAAGAGTAATAAACTGGTGGACGTACCAACTACTAAGTACCTAATACCAGCTCAGAAAATCGTTGAAGGGATTCATTTGTCACGTATAGATACAGTTATTAGTGAATTCTTTCATCAGTGACAACTTGGAAGGATAAGGATACTAACCTCCAAATTTTCGATGGCTATCAGTCCATCTTGTTCACGGAGTGGCCTAACCTCGCAGGGGGTGGGGCCCGGCAGACCGATGCAAGTCTCGGGCCTAGTCTCGCGCTCTCGCGAGATTAGGCCCCTCCGTGAACAAGATGGACTGATAGCCATCGAAAATTTGGAGGTTAGTATCTTTATCCTTCCAAGTTGTCACTGATAAAAGAATTCACTAGTACCAGCTCAGAAAAGAACAAGAAATAGTCGACGTCATGCCTTCAAGTACCAGAGTTATCAACCAAGGATTGAGGTGTTAAAAAACTCATTCTTTCCTTGAACTATACCAGAGTGGAAGTCGCTGTCACCAAGTACAGTAGGGGCATTATAATTAGATAGTTTAAAACAATGTTTAGAGATAGATGTTCAAAGTGTCGTTAGGTGTCATGTAGCCAGCTGCCGCCACGCCGCGTGCCGTGAAGCTGGTGTGTTACGCGGATAATGAATAAACACAAACAAACAAACAAACAAACAAACAAACAGAAAAACAAGCAATCACTTGCCTTCACGACGAAATGACCCGACGATTGCTAGCAGTTCAGTCTTTTCTACGAAAAATTGCGAGTCGATATCCGTCAGGTCCAGAACGAGCGGCTGTTTCCCTCCCTCAGTCACGAACACTTGGAACGCAATCCCGCCATCTTTCCATAAAATGTCAACAATTTTAAGAAATATTGCAGAAGAAAAATTTGAAGATAAGAGTATCAATGACGATAAGTACTTATAATGACTACAAATAAAGTTTTTCGATACAAAAATTTTAAATTATATACAATTTGTCGCAAAAAATAGTTACTCAAGCAACTGGATAAATTTTGAGAAAAACGTTTATTTTTTACTGTGTACCTCATCATTACTTGAATATTTAATGATCAACGTATATGCTTTGAAGTGTAAATCATTCAAATTTCATGATCACATGGGTAAAGGCTAGGAATGAATGTAACCTACAGCCGTGGAGTTGGATGGTGCAGGTCTGACTGTCAAATGGATAGTTTCTCAGGTCCATCAGGCACGATACCCGCAACTTCTTCCTGAAGGGTAAAAAAGTACATTCATTTAGTTCGAGTGAAGCCGTACAGATATATATAGATACACTCTACAAAAAGCAAAGACATTTTGCTTTATCATATGACATTTTCCTTTCCTCCTAGCACATGTGTGAGGTTATGACAGGCCAAGGAGGCTACGTGTTTAGTAGTGCAACTACACAAGTGACAAGAGAATAAAAATAGCGTCAAAATTGCTTTATAGTACATGTACGAAGGCCAACAACGACACTGCGCAGGTATTTCCCTTCGCAGCGCTCTCTCTCCGGGCTTTGGAGGAGGTGTCGCACAATGTCGTTGTGGGCCTTCGTATTATATATATAGTCAATTTTACACACAAAGTCAAAGTTTGTTGCACAACGATTGTCACGGGTACAATGTATGGCAAATAAAAAAGTTACTAGTTGGTATGAGTCTATCATAATGCTACATATGGTCAACGGTTACTGTGTCTGACAGAGTGTTATGAAGCTATTGGCTAGAAAATAATTCAACTCTACACGTATGTTCTATATTGCGCTAAACTATACTGATGAAAGGTACAGTGAGCGGTTGTACCTATACAAAACATGTTCTGTGACTACTAAACAGAGTGTAGACTAAAAAAATACTTGCCAGGAATGTTACAATTCTACATAGAAATCTTACAATACGCTACACTATATACATATTATAGGCATACTTGAGTCTGTGACTTAGTTGTCCCTCCGGTGACAGCCAAGTTGACACAGTTCCAGATCCTGGCCCGCTGTCCTCTTTTCCGACTGATGCTACCTCCGAGCTTGTAGTGACCGGCCACCTGGCCTTGACCGTCCGGCCGAACTGGACAGACGGTAGCCACAAGACGTGACTCGGCACGGGGATCCAGCCGGACCCGCCCAGGTTAGCCAGCCGGTCGTCTGTCCAGGCGACAGTGAAGGTGGCCGTTATGTTGAAGTCCTGAAGGGGGACAACGAATCAATAGTGATGCAATTACATCCGTCAATAATTTCATCAGGTTGATAAACGAATGAATAGCAAAGTTCTTTGATCACAACCAGTCATTTTTCACGAGCCGACGTTTCGATGACCGTCTGTCATCTTCATCAGGGCAGTTCTGACTGGTTTACTGTGCACTGACGCTAGATGTTACTTGGTGCATAGTGCACTAAAGGTGTTACATAGTTCACAGTGCAGGTAAGCTGTTTTTTTTTACTGTGCAGTGCAATATTGTGACATACAAACTAGGCATTGTTACATCATAGTGATGCAATTACTTGTGCACGTAAGCAAGATACTTCTCACTGCTAATGACGCTGCAGTGGAAGGGATGAGTTTGTCAACAGTGCAATAGATACCTCAATCGTTGAGTGCAAACAAATTAGTAAACTATTGAATCGAAAATCTCTTCAAATCATATTATATATACTTAGTATATGTCCGTGCTTGATATCGAACCTACCATGGTTTCCTCCGACAGCCATCCTATGTTTTCCAGCATCACCCCTGACGAAGTTGGAAGTGGCTCTCCTGCAGTGGAATAGGTAATATTATGTAATAACGTCATATCTGTAATTATAGAACACGATGGAAAAATAGTTAAATACATGAAAGCTTGTTTTGTTATCAGGAAACATGCCGAAATTCATGATTAGCCCTACTTTATTGTATATTGTATTAGCACATGTTCAATAGTCGTTGCCATACATTGTACCATGTCCAATTGTCATGCAATTTCTAAAGTTCTATATATAATGCCTATTGCTGTTCACCTTTCTTTCCGCTTGTTCAATTGATTTCAATACGTTAGATCCTATAGATAAGTGCAACTACATTCTCAGGGGAAATAACCAATGCAGTGTTCAAATAGGAAAATACATTAAAGAATGTTTCGATCTTAGAGAACACATGTTAGAGAATAGTTAACTTTTATTGTTACATCATACATATACTCTGTACGTAAGATGACGTTATCCACACATGTATTCAGCTTTGTTAGATCTTTAGTTAAGTTGTAGAAGACCATACAAAAGTCTCTGTACTTTTTTGTTGTGTCAATAAAGAATCATCATATATAGCAAAGCTTGCGGGCTGTGGGAAAAAAATCATTGCAGGAACAGTTTTCATCAGATATTAGTTGATCAGGGACATTGATCAACCTTACCTTTGGACATGTCGACAGGACTTGCCTCTGCGTCATAATCCTCAGGTAGCGCCTCTCCCGTCTCCCACCGCGAGAACTCCTCCATAGTTCCGCCGTCTGACGGAGCTAAAGGGTCTACAACAACAACAACAACAACAACAACAGCAACAACAACAACAAATACATATACTCTAGATAGCACGTTGGCAGAACGCACTGCACCTGCGTGAAACCCGTAATGCATTGTGCATAGCACTTCGACAGAACGTCCTCATATAAGGTTAACATCCCGTCTGTAGTTTCCAAATATTATGTAGGAAAAGATATCCTTTGCAACGGGGAAAATTCTGATGCAACGTTGACCAAAAATCCACCAAAAATCGTGAAAATACAGGGTTCTGCGCAGGCACAGTACGTTCTGCAGACATGCTACTCTAGATGTCACTTTTGTCATCTTTGTGTCGCCATTTAGGGTAGTGTAATTTTACATCGGTACGGTACTGGTACTTATAATTAGTGATTAGGTATTTTGGACGTACTTAATTTTCGCGGTACAGTACCGGTACAGAGTACCAGTAAGCAGCCCTGTTATGGCGGTTATTTATTGTCTCTGCATCGGCGCCTTCGTAGAATTAACCCCTTTAAAAGTAATTGACGGTGGACAATGTCCTCTGACATCTGCATGCAATTGTATATGGGTAACAATTATATGGTCACCGTAAGCAATCATATTTTGCTTGAGCTTCAAGACACAAAACCCATATTGATATTTCAATAGGGTATTGTAGACAAATTAGTCCTTTGTAACAGCGACGGTTATTGGCGCATTTGGAGGATACGTCACTGATGTATGTTGAGGTGACCTACCAGGTGAAGGAGTTGTTACTGGTACGGTACTGGCGGATGGGTCGGCAGTAGATGTACAGTGTGGCTCCAGTGGACCTGTGGACGGTATGGAGAATACCACTTTCCATCCAAATATATGTCAAAGAAATATTGTGGTCATAGCTGCATTCACCAGTAACTAAAGTGGTCCATGGTACTTTACTGATATAAAACACTGTTCGAAAACACTGGTTAGATGTGGTTAGATAGCCTAGAGGTTAAATATGTGAACCCGCTTTTCTGTTTACCGAAATATTTTTGCTCAGTTGCTTCCTTTTCTTCTTCTCCAAACAGTGACCTCTGACCTGACCAATGGCATGATTTGTTTACGTCTGTCACCATGGTGACTGGTTTGGGTTACATTATGTTGCAATTTTATGGTATGCTCTGCTCCTATCACCATATACTAGTAGTACATGTATGTGAATGTGTTTGAGTAAGAATTAACAGAGCAGACCATGTCCGAAGGTAAACAAATGCATTTGCTTTGCAAATGATACTTCTCTAGTTTATAGAGTTCTTCTTTGAATATCATCTGTAATGAATACATATTACCGTCCTTAAGATTCAAATATAAACTTTGAATTCATAGGCAGGAAGCCATGTCAAATGTTGCATTTATCACACCTGACGTCAATACATCTATGATCTAGCCATTTTTCTTTTTCGTTCTTTTACATTTCTTTTCGTTCTCTTTCGCTCCATTTTGCTCTGTATCGCTTGTGTTTGCTAGATAGTTTATTTCGCAGTTAAAAACTCTTGTACATCGGCCTAATGTTGTTTCAAACATCTAAGGAACAACAAGCCCCTACTGTCTCCGACCAGCCCTACCTGTACACGCCCGTGTTTCGTCTTCTTCTCCGGTACAGTTCGCTCCTCCGTACAGGGGCTGACTACAGGTACGGTTCCGTGTCTGGTTGCCGAGTCCACACACAGTCATACACGTAGTCCAAAGACTCCAGGGTGACCAAACGCCATCGACTTCAAGAAAAACGGCATGTTGCATGTAAGACATCACCAAATTGCCGGTGCGCGCAGCCAGGCACGAGGGGCCGGGGCACGCCTTTCACAACAATTATGACATTCGAAAATGACATTAAAAACGATGCCAGTTCATCACACGTTAGCATGATGTACAAAATGACTAATTAACTGGTGGACGTACCAACTACTAAGTACCTAATACCAGCTCAGAAAAGAATTCGAACAAGAAATAGTCATGCCTTCAAGTACCAGAGTTATCAACCAAGGATTGAGGTGTTCAAGAACTCATTTTTCCAAGCACTATCGCAGAGTGGAACTCGCTGTCACCAAGTACAGTGAGCTGAGTACAGTAGGGGCATTATCACTAGATAGCTTTAAACAATGTTAAGAGTTAGCTATTCAAGGCTAGGGTTAGGTGTATACATTATAACAAGTCGTTCGGTGTAATGTAGTCAGCTGCTGCAGCGTCGCGTGCCTGCGAGGCTGGTGTGTTACGCCGAAGGGCAGTTATACTGCTTATACGGATCATCAACAAATTTATTGTACTGTCAAGCTTAAAGAAACAACTGTGCCTATATTGAGATGGAAAGTATCAAGTCACAGAGTTACCTACCTGGACATGGGTCACAGAGTTACCTACCTGGACATGGTCCGATGTCCATACACGCCCTGGTTTGGAAAGAGTCCCCGGTACAGTTGGCTACACCAGCGGTACCGTTGTTCCCGGGTGCGGTGTTACACGTACGGTTTCGTGTCTGGTTCCCCGCGCCGCAGCTGGGTGTACAGACCGACCAGGCAGCCCACTCTGACCAGCTACTTGCAACTGTGTATCATGTAGAACAAGGTTTGATCTCAGCTCAATAAGTTTTACCGAATTGCACCGTTTGTGTATTCACACAGTTGCCTCTAGTTCTGTGGTTCGGCCAGTGTTCGGGAGGCCATACTCAGCTATTTGTGACAGGAGCGTCACACTAGCCTGGTTACCAAACCTATTATAGCTCCCGAGTCCTACATCCTCCCCACAAATAGAGGATGCGGAGAGGATGTAGGACTCGGGAGCTATAATAGGTTTGGTAACCTAGCTAGCGTGACACAACAAGTAACGAAACAATTTTAGTCATCTCCGAAATGACATCCTGACACAAAATGAAAATGCATATGAGTAAACTTTAAGCTAAATATACCTGTAACTTAGATGTTGTTAGCTGTTTTCCCAAAGAATTGTTCAAACATTAGCAACTTACGTGTGCTCACTGGATCAGAGTAGTAACTATCTGCATAGTAGCCGTTTGGGGTGAAAACTCTCATCTTAGCCCTGAAAAGAAGATGTGTACATAATAAACTCTTGAAGACAAGGAAATGCTCTGGTCGCAAGAATCGAAGGCGCCATTAACAACATGTTTTATCAACACAACTTTGTCGTAGTCTTAAAAATAAGAATATGCTTTATTATCAGAAGACTGAAACCAGTGCTACTTATCAAACGTCTATTATCTAAGATACGTCGATGAAGGTAAGAATCTCAGGTTATGAGATACACCAGCAAACAGTTACTACAGGAAGTGGGTAGATTTTTGAAAATTGTACATTGTACCAATGGGATCTTGTTCATTATGTACAGATTTGTTTATTTGTATTTACGATCTGCTATGAGTTCACTTATTTGTTCACCATTATTGTATATAGCCTACCTTTATTTGCGTTCATATTTTGTTTGGACTCTGTTATCTGTACCTTTGATCGTCTTTTGTTTATGTATAATTTATTGAATCGGTGTCGTATAAGCCCACACGGGCTGGGCGCGGGATAGCGCACGACACGGAAATAAAGTATCATTCATTCATTCACTCATTCATTCATTCATTCATTCATTCATTCATTCATTCATTCATTCATTCATTCATTCATTCATTCATTCATTCATTCATTCATTCATTCATTCATTCATTCATTCATTCATTCATTCATTCATTGTACATGTCGAAATCCATTCTGCTTTTCCAAGATCAGTTTGTACCAATGGGATCTTGTATTAGTATGTCACTCTTATTGAATATCTATTGTGTTCTGTTATTGGTCAAAATATATTATCCAAGAACATGTATAGTCCAGACACCAGACAATCCTGGCGATTTTTGGTTATGATATGATCAATTTTATGCCCAAAATTTAACCTATACAGTTGCACTCAAAACTGCCAATTTTTGCAATAAGCTTTCAAGTACCTTGGAACCACAAATGAAATAAGTAATCAAGTAATATGTATACCTGTAGGTAGTGGCGAGTTTTAGCGGCCCGTTGCAGTAGAGTGTAACGTTTGGGTCGGTGCAGTTCTCGTCTCCTATGGTGAAAGTTAGTTCCTGAGGTTCAGTGTTCCTCTTCCTTCTCCGGCTACTTGTGAAGGGATATGGCGCGAGGGCGGACACTTGGTACGGCGGGACTGGAGAGAGCGCCTGCACGTCGTACCAGCTGTACATCTGGGCGTTCAGTATGAGTCCTGTTTCCGCTGTATCGTTCAGACCTGTATAGGGATGTGGGAGCAGCAAATTAAGTACTAGTGTGTTACGCTGAAGGAAGGTTGGTTATAAATAAATAAATAAATAAATAAATATGATTAAACTGTGTTTAAAACTTCTCTCGGCCGCGACGAGGGGCGGTACAGATTTCCGACGAACTTTGACCCAGTGCTGACGTAAGACGTAATCACGGAGGAATCACGTGTCTACAGCACGTGGGTCAGAGAGCCAATTAAAACCGAGAGATTCGTAAAATTTCGTTCACCTCAAGTTCGAGAACAGTTGATCATGTCATAACAATTTGACAACTTTCAGCACCAAGGAGAGGACTAATATTCCACTGTAAGTAAAAATAAGTTTAGCATCAAACACAAGCCACCTGCGTCAAAATTGCATTAAAAGTAACAATACCACATTAAGGAGTTTAATCTAAACTGCGATAGGCGTTGTCAATTGTATTGTACCAGCCAAGGAAATATACATGAACACCAAACGTGGTCTAGCGTATTGGCCCTATTGGTAAGAAGAGAAATCAGCCTCAACGGCTGAATGGACCACCCATTCGTCCGTAAGATAGATAGATAAATAAATAAATAAATAAATAAATAAATAAATAAATAAATAAATAAATAAATAAATAAATAAATAAATAAATAAATAAATAAATAAATAAATAAATAAATAAATAAATAAATAAATAAATTAATAAATAAATAAATAAATAAATAAATAAATAAATAAATAAATAAATAAATAAATAAATAAATAAATAAATAAATAAATCACCTGCACCATCCTCTGCTACAATGACAGTGAAATGGGTGATCAGTCCCAGATCCAGAGAAAACATCTGGTCGCTGAAGGTCACGTCCACTGTGGACGCTGTGACGGTGTTGTTGTCTCCATGGTCAGGCTTTGCATCGGATATCACGCTTGGGACTAGAGAACATTGGAACATGAGCTCACAGTAAATGGTTACGTATTGTTAGGCCTTTCTTTACGTGTAGTTATCTGGTCCGCACGGCTATTTTTCTCCGTGAACTAATTCTGGTGTTTGCGGTTGAAATTTGCAGCTTGGGATCGTGAGTCACAGCTGTGAACACACGGACACAACTACGCATGATGTACAAAATGGCTAATAAACTGCAGGGCGTACCAGACTACTAAGTACCTAAAACCAGCTTAGAGTAGGACAAGAAATAGTCATACCTTCAAGTAGCAGAGTTATCAAACAAGGATTGAGGTGGTCAAAAATCATTCTCTTCTAGAACTATCGCAGAGTGGAACTAGCTGTCACCAAGGACAGTAGGAGCATTATCATTTGGTAGCTTTAAATGAGTTAGATGTTCAAAGGTGTGCCAAGTCGTTCGGTGTAATGTAGCCAGCTGCCGCCGCGTCGCGTGCCTGTGAAGCTGGTGTGTTACGATGAAGGGCTTTACAGATACAGAACTGATTACAATACTCGATCAGAGGCTACTGACCTCCTTCAAGGAGTAATAAAACAGTGTCAGTGTCTCGTCTTGTGCAGAGACTTACCGTAGCAAGACGGATCTACTTGTCCGGTGCAAGTTTCTGACTGGGTGGAGTCACCGTTACAGCGGCGTCCACCATTTTGGGGCGGCGGCTGATCGCAAGTGCGGCTTCGGGTCCTGGTGCCACCCGCACAGGTCACGGTACAGTTGGACCAGGCCTCCCACTGAGACCAGCCTCCATCAACTAAAACACAAGGGGCACAGTCAGTTATTTCAAATGACGCTCCGGTACTGAACAGTTATTACTGAACTCAGATAGGTAGTGTAATGTTTAACAAAGTTCTTTATTGTACACATGTGCAACATATGATGAGGCCGAAAACAGCTTGTAAGTACTTCTGGGACTGTATCATTTACACTGAAGCGACACCTAGCAATAGAACAAGCCTTTATGAAGGACTACTAAAACCTTTGGTAAAAGCTCAGGGTTGTGGGTAATATATAAGGGACTTTGTTTACAAGGACTTTAGAATACCGTATTGTTGGACATACAAAGCTTAAGGTGTATCAGGGACAGCTGAAGTTAAACGTCGGTTAGAATACCTTTACAGAGAGGCAGGGAATCGCACAACTGTATGTCGTTCGAGGTCCCATTGCAGTCTGCCCCGCCGTATAGTGGCGCTGGGTTGTTACAACTTCGGTTCCGTGTCTTGTACCCAACACCACAACTCACGTCACAAGTGGACCACGAACTCCACACGGACCAATTCCCATCAACTGGAAATACAGAACAAATTGTACTATTCAAGCAGAGGTTTGGGGTTTGGGTTAATATTAATCTTGGCGTGGTTTTAGTCTTTTTTTATCGGGGTTTCTTTTTTTATTATTTTGCATTGGAATTTAAAAAGCCTAAAAACACGCCAAAAATAACCCAAAACCCAAACCTTTGCTTGGAGAGTAAACAAATGGCCCTACATTATAGTTCATGCAACATTGGTGTCGAACTAAAGATGTATAAATATCGGACGGCGGCAGACATAGACTTCCATTCACCTTTGACCCACCACGTGCACTGACGTCACATTTCCAGAAGGTTGCCGCTGTGGGAGTGGTAAAGATACCGTATGAAGACCGTAGGAGACGGGCGAAAATTCGTAGGGTGAGTGAACGTATTGATGTTAAATTGAACTTCTCAATCTGTACTGTAGTCTATAATATTGACATTTTGTTTTCTCCAAAGACCATTTCACACACTCACCCGCACATGGCGTCTCTTCACAAGTTTGAACTTCCACTGAACTTCCGGTACAGTTGTCGCCGCCATGTTGAGGAGGAGGATTGTCACAACTGCGGTTGCGCGCCTGGCTGCCGAATCCACACGTGACGTCACAGGTAGACCAGGAGCTCCACTGAGACCAGTTGCCGTTAACTGACAATTAAAAATACAAAAATTTGTAATGCATTTATAATGCATTAAAACTGCAGATCTACTCTTAGAGGAATATTCTTGATGTCTGCTGATTCGGTTTTTTTCTTCAAAATTCGGTAACTTAATTATCTATCATTATAATGTTCATCATCAATATTTTAGCTATCGTTATATTTCTATCATTATAACATTATTCTATTTTTAAAATCTTTTTCACTATTTCTATTTCCATTCATATTTTACCATTATTGATAGCGTATGTGAATGATCCGAGGTCAGTAGTTGACTGTACCTACATCTGAAGGCAGGAATAACAAAGGAGGTTATAGGAGTCCCCTATATCCCTTTATCGTTACCCTGGATTGAGAGAGAGAGATATCCCCCTATAACATCTTATATAGAATTACCCCAACTCTGTTCCGTATCGAAATCGGCCCAATAGCAAATATCCTTTATAACAAACCATGTTGTGAGATATATATCACATATCGGTGTAAACACACTCACCCGCACACGGCGGTCCTTCACAAATCTGAAGGTCCGCGGAACTTCCGGTACAGTTCTCGCCGCCATGTTGAGGAGGAGGATTGTCACAACTGCGGTTGCGCCACTGGCTGCCGAATCCACACGTGACGTCACAGGCAGACCAAGAGCTCCACTGAGACCAGTTGCCGTTAACTGGAAATATGCAATAAAATCTATTTATTATGATGACCGCCATTGGCGATATGCTGCCGCTGGATAAATAAATAAAATAAAATGAAAATTTGTTATTTTGTTTATTACTTATTATTTTCATTTTTGTTATTCATTATTATTATCATTATTAAGTATTATTTTAATAATATTTATCAGTTTCTTATTCTTCTATTTTTTTAACGTATCTGAATGACCCTAGTTGACTGTACCACTTGTCATGTAGTGTCGCTCATTCCTGGCGCCAAGGCCACCTTTTTGCAAACCACTTGTTCGTTTTCTCTTCAGATCATTTTACACACTCACCCGCACATGGCGGAACTGCACAACTCTGAATGTCCGCGGAACTTCCGGTACAGTTCGTGCCGCCATGTTGAGGAGGAGGATTGTCACAACTGCGGTTGCGCCACTGGCTGCCGAATCCACACGTGACGTCACAGGTAGACCAGGAGCTCCACTGAGACCAGTTGCCGTTAACTGCAAACATGCAATAAAATCTATTTATCATGATGACCGCCATTGGCGATATGCTGCCCCTGGATAAATAAATAAAATAAAATGAAAATTTGTTAACGTATCTGAATGACCCTACTTGACTGTACCACTTATCATGTACTGTCGCTCATTTCTGGCGCCAAGGCCAAGCTTTTTTCAAAACCACTTGTTTGTTGCCTCCGGGGGAGGAGACATCCTTCCGCGGAAGGGCTTTGTGAGTGATTTAGATTTTCATGTTCGCAGCGGTTTCTCGCGTTTGGGTGGACGGATTCTTTGCCGTTTACTGGAAATATGCAGTGACAAGAAATCTGAGATTCCAAAACTACCGGGAGGTAATATAGTGATTATTACTTCGACAGACTGGCGCGCAGTAAATAACAAATCCATGTTATTCTCTTTTTTGACTTGAATTCAAGAAAATCAAACTTTCCATTTGATAAAATTGGAAAATGTCTGAGATATTATTTTTAGAAACTCGAAGTCAAATGTTCATGACTTAGTGAGGATATGTCCTCTAGCAAATCTGGGATCAGTCAGCATATTTGATGATATGTTGAGGACAGACGCTCTTCCTGAATCAGTTAAGTATATCTCCTCTTTCCGAATCGGTTGAGGATATCTCCTCTTCCCGAGTCAATTGAGGTTATATCCTCTTCCTGAATCAGTTGAAGATATATCCTCTTCCTACACCAAAGAGCATTTCCTCTTCCTGAATCAGTTGAGGATATATCCTCTTCCTGAATCAGTTGAGGATATATCCTCTTCCCGAATCAGTTGAGGATATTTCCTCTTCGAGCTTCCTGACGCAGTTGAGAGCATTTCCTCTTCCTGCATCAGTTGAGAGCATTTCCTATTCCTGAGTCAGTTGAGGATATATCCTCTTCCTGAATCAGTTGAGGATGTTTCCTCTTCCTGAATCAGTTGAGGATATCCTCTTCCTGAATTAGTTGAGGATATATTCTCTTCCTGAATCAGTTGAGGATATATCCTCTTCCTGAATAAGTTGAGGATATATTCTCTTCCTGAGTCAGTTGAGGACATTTCCTCTTCCTGAATAAGTTGAGCATATATCCTCTTCCCGAAACAGTTGAGGATATATCCTCTTCCCGAATCAGTTGAGGATATATCCTCTTCCCGAATCAGTTGAGGATATATCCTCTTCTCGAATCAGTTGAGGATATATCCTCTTCTCGAATCAGTTGAGGATATATCCTCTTCCCGAATCAGTTGAGGATATATCCTCTTCCTGAATCAGTTGAGAGCATTTCCTCTTCCCGAATCAGTTGAGGATATATCCTCTTCCTGAATCAGTTGAGGATATATCTTCTTCCTGAATCAGTTGAGGATATATCCTCTTCCTGAATCAGTTGAGGGTAAGTTGAGGATATATCCTCTTCCTGAATAATATATATGCTAACACTCACCCGGACATGGCAGTCCTCCACAACTCTGAAGGTCCACGGAACTTCCGGTACAGTTCTCGCCGCCATGTTGAGGAGGAGGATTGTCACAACTGCGGTTGCGCCACTGGCTGCCGAATCCACACGTGACGTCACAGGCAGACCAGGAGCTCCACTGAGACCAGTTGCCGTTAACTGGAAACATGCAGTAAATGTACTGAGTCTACTATTTTTGTTAACATATCTGAATAACCGGTACCCTAGGTAACCTACATCTGAAGGCAGGAGGTATAACAATATATGCAAGACTGCCAATCGTGCATATGGCTGTCAAAAGAGTAAGTTGACATACTCTGTGCTGTATTGCCGTTGACTGACAATTAGAAATACACAATATTGCAAACATTTATCACGCATTTGCAGACTCACTTATAAAGAAATGCTGAAAGAATGTTTTAAGCTTTTCATGTTATTCTCTTTAAGTACAGGGCACACCTAAAATCAATACGTTTACCACTGAGTGCGTTTACCCTGTTACAAGAAAAAAAAACATAATAGTGATAAGGAAGTTTCACATAGAATAACGGTGCGATGTTACAACTTTTCTTTAGAAATGTTCCACAATATCCCTGTATTAATTGTAGGGTTGTAGAATCGCTCTCACAAAGGCGTCTAAACATGCATGCAACATACCACAATACAATGTGGTTGTGCAATTATTCGTAGCAAAGTTGGATGTCTTACTGGAGTCCATTACAAGTCTCAAATAATAGCTGTAATAATTTTGAATTGCTTGGAATAAAAGATTAGTTAAGTCACAATAGGTCTGAATTTTTACAAAATTGAAAATAAAAAATTGAACATATTTGGATCTATTTCATCTTTCACAATACTGATTAGAGATTAGAGCATTAAGTACAGGATTTAGTGAGTAATACTGTGGATGGGGGTGGGTGTAGGTGTGTTAATATACATACTTGCCGAAAATAGAATTGTTCAAACATATTATGACATCCAAGCGCTACGATGTAAATAAAAAACTATGTAAATTTGTTCATACATGTTTCAAAAAGAGAGAAGAGATCCTGTAGTTAGATCCTGTAGATAGAGACGTAGCACACAAATGTAACAATTGCTTCTTCTATTCTTGTAGCCAAGTTATCTAACTTAGTGAATTTGGCCCGTATAGGGCGTGAATATGCAACAAAGTTCACTGTCATTGTCATTGTCGTTCACTGTCATTGTCATTGTCATTGTTCAAAGTTCACTGTCATTGTCATTGTCGATTTGCATTAAAAATATGTGTTTCCTACCAGGACACGGAGCTCTTGTACACAGTTGAAAGTCGGTGTCGTTCCCGGAGCAGTACAGCCCGCCATTGGCAGGTGCGGGGCTGTCACATGATCGGTTCCTCATCTGTAACCCTTCTCCACAGGTTACGTCACAGCTGGACCACAGGCCCCACGGAGACCAGCTACCGTTAACTACAGGGAAATGATAATGATATGAATCTTTATTGCATGTTCTTGCCCAGATGGGCTAAATGCACAAGAGGATATGCAGTATGCAAAACATGAGTATTGCATACTGGGACGCTATATTCTAATGCTAATTGCTAGGAATTTATACATTATAACAATACTATATACTACCTATTATCTACTGTTAGTTGCCCTTTCTTCTCTCTTTTTGAAACATTTGGAAACATAATTACATAGTTTGTCTACTGTACATTCGTTCTTGCATGACATCAAGTGTTTAAACATGTCCTGCTTTGACATTTTCTTGCATATCTTGTCTAGATGTAAAATAAAAAAAATGAAGATAGTGACCGTCAGCTACCGTTAACTACAGGGAAATGATCGTGAACATAGTGACCGGCAGCTACCGTTAACTAAAGGGAAATGATAGTGAACATAGTAACCGGATGCTACCGTTAACTAAAGGGAAATAGTAAGAAACATATTGACCGTTCAGCTACCGTTAACTAAAGGGAAATAGTAAGAAACATATTGACCGTTCAGCTACCGTTAACTAAAGGAAAATGATATCAACACCCAGTCAATGAGGTACACGAGGAAACTGTTACTCAGGAAACTGGGCAGATTTTGCAAACTGTATTATAGACGTTTTAAGTAGCATCCACCACTGACGAAAAATAGTAGGTTTACTTGAAAGGCCTGACAGTTTTCAAAATCTACCCAGTTGCTTGAGTAACAGTTTCCTTGTGTATCTCATGACATTGTTCTTTGCTCCCTAAAGTAAGAATGACACACATTACTAAAGTTGTTGCCTTCATCAGAAGGGTATGAAATCAGCTTGCTTTAATCATGGAGTTAAAAAGTCCATGCTTTGATTTAGCTCAACAGCTCCAGCGGCCTCGCTTTGATACGAGCTCACGCGCATTCACGTAAAAATGTACTCTCGCGTGAATACAACCAAAATGGCGACCGTATCTGGAAATTATTTCAACGATCTAAGATAGCCACAAAGGGACACAACAAGAACGATAAGAACCTGGTTGGCACATCTGTATCTCCGACTGTTCCACTGTGGCAGGACAGGCCGTGTCAGAATCCGCGGGGTTGCAGAGTAGGTCTCTACTTTTACTTCCATCTCCGACCGCGGTACTGCACTCTGACCACGGACTCGGCACATACCAACCTGAATAAAAAGAGAGAACATGACTGAATTACTGAACATATTTGAACATACATGATTTGAACATGATTTGAACATGATTTGAACATGATTTGAAGATGATTTGAACATGATTTGAACATGATTTGAACATGACTGAATGATTGAAAAGATTTGAACGCAAAGGAAGAAGAATGTTAAGCTCGATCGACATGCAAAGAGACTTGCATGTTTAGTATGAGCCCATATGTGTAGCTTCTGGATGTGTTTGGGTATCTTACGGAAGCAGACCAGTACATCACTTCTCAGCTAGCAGGGAATGTTGCAGGCTGCTACATGCAATTACATGTTGCATATTACAACATAACACTATAACAGCATTACAGTATTGTCAATTACATATTAGATATTACTACATATTACTGCCAGTGACACGTAACGTTGCCTGCTCACCCACTGGAGTTAAACTTTCAAATCGCTCTATCAAAATTGTAATGGGGCATGGAGAAAGCAATGAATCACCTATAGCCTTCAGGATAGAAGAAATATGATAAAACATTTTATTTATTATAGTAAAAGCAGGTTAATGACTAGCCTCTACACTACGTACACGAGTGAACTGAGAAAGCCTAGTAACTTACGGTCGCAGCCAAGAACCTCCACCCTCATGGCAATAGCATTGTAACAGGTCAAAATCCTAAAACGCACCCCGCTAGCAGCAACTGGGCTGTACAGTAGGTTGGTTACAGGGGTAGTATTATCGGTGTTGCCTGCAAAGACCTGCAATGTAGACGGAGACTTTAATGAATACTTTTCTGACTGTTAGTTATCTAATCGACCTATATTTAGTAATCGACCTCTGTTAATCACTCATCAGGTTTTTCAGTATTTTGCAAAACTCAGTCTAAACAAAGTCTAAACAAAATGAGGATTGTAAACCGAATCAAACATATGATAATTACACATGAAATTAAACATGTTTAAAATTAATTAATGATTAAACATAAAATGTATCCATATTTATGTATAAAAGTTAAACCATACATAGATTTTTTATTAATACCCATAGTTTCACCATTAACCATGAAGTATGATTTTACACATGAACAATGAGAAATGATTTTACACAAATCAACTTTGCATGATAAAATGCATTTGCATAAATCTGCATATTATTAACTTTGACCTTAATGTTGACCTTTTCTTGAAAGCATAAAATGGTTCAGACGACCACCTTATACTACTCATACGATTTTGGAGCATCTCAGTGGGAATAATTATCATCACGTTGTTTGACTGATAAAATACACGCATTGGTTAAGAAACATACCTTCTCGATGCCGTTGATTTTATAAAACACCCAGTCACCAGCTCCTGTAGTGAACTTTAGTTTGTAGGAGGTTACCCATTGAAGTTTTGTCGCGTGTCCCTGAGTGACTACCCCTGAGATGTACTGGTTTTCTCCTACATCCACCTACGAGGAAGCGAATATTCAATTATAGACAAAACATCCGCAAAAGCTTGACTCCGTAGATATTTTCATATGGTTGGGGAATTGAATGATTGAATAGCAACGTTCTTTATTCACAACATACAACTTTTAACAAGAGCCGATGTTTCGATGACCGTCTGTCGTCTTCATCAGGGCAATATGACTAGTTCACTGTGCACTAAAGCTACATGTTACTGGTTCACTGTGCACTGAAGCTAGGTGTTACTGGTTCACTGTGAACTGACGCTAGGTGTTACTGGTTCACTGTGTACTGAAGCTAGGTGTTACTGGTTCACTGTGTACTGGAGCTAGGTGTTACTGGTTCACTGTGTACTGAAGCTACATGTAAGTATTACTGGTTCACTGTGTACTGGAGCCAGGTATTACTGGTTCACTGTGTACTGAAGCTAGGTGTTACTGGTTCACTGTGTACTGTAGCTAGGTGTTACTGGTTCACTGTGCACTGAAGCCAGGTGTTACTGGTTCACTGTGCACTGAAACTACGTGTTACTGGTTCACTGTGTACTGAAGCCAGGTATTACTGGTTCACTGTGTACTGAAGCCAGAATAAAAGTAGACGTGAATACAATGCATTCTAATCCATAAAACGTATGATAAAAAGTTTCAACATATAATGAAACTGCTTGCATTAACTGTGTTATATTTCATTTATCTTTATTTTTGAGGATTGGGCAAAAAGTTATCTCAGCCCTCTCCTCACACATAAAAGGAAACAATAAAACAAAGTAATAATAATAAGAAGAACAAATGACAAAGGTACATAATGAGCTGGTGTACAAACCAAAATCAATCATCTAAATCAAACAAACCGTCATGTCTGCAAAATAAAGTTGAAAACCACATCAAATATTTTACAGTGTTATACATGTACAATAAAAAATGAACGCGATCAAATATGTCCACTTGAATACCATTGTCAAGCATTACAGCATTCCTATATATCTGAACTGATAAAGGTTTATTGTTTAAATATTTAAATAGATACCTACCTGTAACCATTCTCCGCTCTCTACTGTGCCGGCTACCCAGGCGCTTCCCCCATGTAAGCGACCGTTGTAGGGAAACATCCCTGTGGTTTGACTGGACTGAGAGAAAGACTTTGCAGTGATGTCTTGATCCGCTATGGCACCCGATTCCACGCCAAGTGGATGACAGGCTGGTATGACTAAAAAAAAAATTCAGCACGACTTGGTCTCAAATGTTCTCGAGCAAATTATTTGTAGCCTTTCGAGGAGCTAGTGGCTGCGTGCCTGCGAAGCTGGCGTGTTACGCCGAAGGGCGGTTATACCGGCTATACCGATACAGACATGATGAAGGAATGACTGTACGGTCGGAATAGCAGAGAGAGAGAGAGAGAGAGAGAGAGAGAGAGAGAGAGAGAGAGAGAGAGAGAGAGAGAGAGAGAGAGAGAGAGAGAGAGAGAGAGAG